GTACGTCAGTACTAGAGGTGCTATAATAAACTTGATGGAAGGCTCAAACCTACAGTTTCTTCAATTCATTAGTCAATAAAAGAATACTGTTATCGTCATTTATTAAATTCAAATCCAAATTTTCAAATCAAATTTTTTGCAACCAACTTTGGTCCGCGCGTTTGCTACACATTCGTAGCTCAATACCCCAATAATGTTCTGAGTACTTCAAAGTACACCTTATTAGAGTTTTGCTCGTAAAAAAGTTTGGTAAGCATTTAGGTTAAAAGTTTTGGTACTGAAAAGCTCAAAAAAAGTGCAAAAGTTAAAAAATTCGTCTATAATTCAGCTGTATGGAACAAAAGTGCATGAAAAATAAGCATTCGATTGATACATACTAACAGAGAATTAGATAGGCGTCGTTACTCAAACATATACACGCCAACTAAAATTACGAATTGTTATTTTTCAAGGAACTGAGTAATAGTAAATAGCAGTAATAATGATCAGCTGATATATACTATAAATTTGAATAAAAGCAATATTTGTGTTTCCGAAGAGTTCTCGTTTTTGAAAAAGGATCACGCAATAGTGCACATTGGCATCATTTTTCAAACACTAACGGAAAAAATCACTATGGGTTATGGAGAAAAAATTTATAGATATTGGAAGCAAAACCCGATATACAGAAGAGCATTATTTAGTATTAAGTTTTTCTGGGTCAAGTCATGAATGTGTCTAGGAGGATGATATGCGTATGAACCTGACCTTTAGAGGCTACGAAAAGGCGAAACCGGACTAGAACTGATAAAAGTTGTATTCAAAAAACTCGTCTTTGCTCAGGAATGACAGAATAACTCCAGATTTACACCCAACACATGTTTTTTTTCCATGATGATATGGCCATTTCTTCACAGCTACGAGAAGTTACGGTAGAAGAGAAGAAAACCAAAGTTTGCTTTGACTGAAACACTTTCTACACGGCTGCTAATAGATGGGAACAAATTTGAGGAAATGCAGGAACTGTTTCCGTTTGCACTGCTATAGGAGGAAAAAAAAAGCTGTTGAAGCCAGATAAGAAAGAGCACTCCAAAATAAGGCTGCTCTGTATCTTCACGGCTACAACTTTACGCTGTCAATGCTCATCTCATTATAAGTTATTTTACGTAAAACAACGTATTTTACTCTTGAATATTCTATCACACACATTGTCCTTAGGATCACGCAAATCAATACTTGACAACTGCACCTTTGGTAATGTTCGCAAATTGACTAGCTCGAACAAGCACTTCACTTGGTCAAAACGGTAATGACTACAACGAGGATTCTACTGCCCCAACTAGGCCGACCACTGGATATAGAATTACTGCTCGTTGACAAAAGTGAGCACAGGCCCGGTGCCAAACCGGAAATCTTCTGGTTAGAAGTCAGACGCTTTGTGCAATAGCCCACGTGAGCTGCGCTGGTCTCCAATATTTTTTGATTATCAATCCTGTCACGTTTGAACAACCAGTAATATGAGGTGTTTAGTACGCAAAGAAAAATAATTTTTACGTAACCCGTTAGATCCTTTTTAGGTCATAAGGTATACTGTGTGAAAAAATGAGCCACGCATGGAAGAAACGAATGCCTCTCGTTTTCTGAGATAAGAAATCAATCAAATGCTATGTCCACATTACTTTTTAGTTCAAGAGAAAATATCCAGTTGGTATAAGCGCACAAATGTGTTAAAAAGAAGCTGCATTAGCTCCTTCAGCTTTCGTGATTAGCACGCTTTCATTTCATAAAATAGTCTTTATCGTCACCATACACAAACTAAAATTCTATAGGTACGAACGGTCCGCGCTAGAAAATAGTACTTAATAGTAATCTCAGTAGTCAAAAAATTTTTATGAAAAACTTAAAAATTACCTTATCACCAAAAAAGCTCGGACTTGCCCGCCTTTTTTTGCAAAATTGAAACGCTCTTTCCAGTGGAATTTTGGTCTGAACATATTTCTGAGGGGAGGGGAGCGGCCATGGTTGAGTGGTTGTGATGCCAGTCGCCACACGGATGCTCCCGACTCCCACCATTGTCCGGCAGTCAACAACGGACACCCTACGGAAGGCTAGAGCAGGGCTATCCTTATTGAAAGGAGTCGTGTTCAATAAATATTTTACGATGTTCAAGAAGAAGGAAGAAAAACACACTGGGTGCAAGAAGAAGTGGAGTTCCGTTTAGTGGAAAATTTTGAGGCGGATGAAATAATCTGGGCACAGGTATGTTATCCGCGAACAAATGAGATAATTATACCTTTCGCTTTACACGAACTTTTCATGAAAAGTGTGCTGTAACTACTGTTCCGTTAGAAGCACTAAAGCATATGAACGTAAAGAGAAAATCTGTGGTAACTGGGCTAGTAGCTCAATCAGGAGTTTCGTTCGAAGCGGAGATGAAAGTTCAGATTAAATAACAAAAATATCACTTCACTTGTGTAACGCGCCGTATTGAAACCACGCACCAGCCCTTTCTCCTCAGCAAGTGCACTAGCAGAAAAATAATGATCGCAAATGTAAAACCCAATCTTATTACCTCTGTCACACTGTAGTGCAACGATTTTTTTGAGAGAATAAACACAAGATGGCATCATAGAAACGTACGCTATCGAATGGTTACACATATTCACACGGCTCAGTCTGTCTTGCAAAAAATATACGTATGTGAAACTCAAATGTTTTCCCTTTGATACTGTGTTATAGAATAGCTTTTTTAAAAATGTCCATAAAGTATACTAACCAACGATTTGAGCTTTCGAATGATTACTATTACCCTTTATCAAAGTTCCCGTCCAACGAAAGAAGTAGATTCTTCACCTGTTCCCGGATAACATACTCGAACCATAAAGTGAAGAAAAGAAGAAATTGAGATTTTATAACACTCATTCCAACAAGTTCACTTGTAACTCAAACTCGAACAGAGTGAAAGTGGTGAAAAATGTCATGAAAACATGGAGTGAAGATTGTACGAAACGATTCTCTGAGGAACTACCTCGTGCTAAATGCGATCGTGATGCTGGAAAGTCAAAGATGGCGTTTTGGTGCTGATAACAATGAATTGAAAGCTTTGATAGGGGCAAATACATGATCAACTGCTCACTGCGAGCAAGAGGTCCAGATGTGCCACCAAACAAACCATAAAGCTGGAAAACTGTACCACGATTGAGCCGACTCAGCGGGTCAATTCTGAAGAATGAAAGCGGTGACACATTACTGTACCGTCGGTGCAAAAATTGAACGTGCTGCAAACCGAAGGTCTATTCCTTTTATCATACTCACTAAACCTCTCAGCCACTCGCATAATGACTGCCGCTTCTTCAAGTAGCTCTATACGTTCCCAAGCGAAAAACTTCTTAGAAACCAAGAAATGTATTGAAGCGCTTTGAAAACGCCCCGAGTAAGATGAAGTGCGGGTTCGAGTTCCGGCTGACGCAAAAGTTTTGCACATCACTCAACACCATTCGTCGATATCAACATTTTTTAGTTATGTGATTTTGTGACTTTGATTTTGAACTTTACTGTTTCCACTCCTCACTCTTAGACATGCTCGATCGATTTCTTCAATTCAAGAATTATTTCTTATCAACCATCAGATTTAATGCACAAGGCTGTAAGGTCAAAGTAAAGTGAGCTGGAAATGTCGTGACAGTTCCAAGAATGATTGTGTACAACTGAGATTGAAACTTATAGTGTGCCTTTACATGGCTCAAGAAAGGCTTTCAGGTGTTGAGTTTGGTGCCCTATGTGTGCAAACCTACTGCTGCTCATTTCTCAAATAATTTGATAAACCTTAGGCGTTTTATTGATCCGTCTCCACAGTGCTTTCTGGTTCTTATCTGTTTTAGGGAAGCAAATGAAGAAATGGCTCTTTTCGCCGGATAAGAAGTTTTCGTTCCACTTTTGCTAATCATTTGAAGCTCAAATCTCTGGCTGCTGCGCTACGTGCTCCTTTCTAAAAAAGAATCAGTTATAATGCTTCAGGAAGAAATTCGTGCTTCTCATGCGCGTTTTCTTAGCAGGATTAAGCTCTTTATCGGGAATATTAGCAATCATTTGATAGCGTAGTCCCGGTATATTTAGATGTGCTTGAATTCTAGATAGACCATTTCACTGCAGTGTAGCAGAGAAATAAGACTGATTTGTTAAGCGGGCATTTGTTGTTCGGCCAATCTTTGGACTGGGAGAGGGGGATGGTCGCGGTTTCAACGCAGCAATTGATGGATGGCGCTTAGGCGGCTCACATGTGAAATGCGATTTTTGTTATTCAATTAGGAATTATTACTCCTCTTTGAATGAAACTCTAGATAAAACATATGTCTCCGATACTACAAGATTCACATTACACGTTCATACGCTTTTCGAGCTCGAAGTCAAAGTAAAATTGCGCGGCCGATGTAACACACAGTTTATTTTAAATATACAGAGTTATAAAATAGTCTTTTCAATAAACAGCTACTTAGCGTACAAACCAGAGCTTTTAGCTTCTGAATGATTACTGATGCTCTCAAGAAAAATCCTTGATCATCAAAAGGGGTCGTTTCCTCATCACCCGCCGTTTAAGGGAAAAGAACCGGCCAGTCTTTAACTCTTCATAGACAGCGCCTCCCCTCCCTTCCCCTCGCTTCTTTCGCCCTCAAAAAAAATTTATGATGGTGCCAATGGAGGCATATTAATTGAATGCAAGCGCGCTAATTACGAAAGCGAAAGAGCTGTTGCACATTTCTTACACTGCAGTAAGCTCCACCAAATGAGACATTTTCTGCGGCTAGCAAGAGTTTTGACGTGGCTTCGATTTATATTTGCTGTCCAAGAGAGTGAGAAACTTTTGTTTTTCCCATGCCTCACTTCTTCAAACAGTATATCTTATAACCTGAAAGGAATCTAGCGGCCTACGTGTAGCTTGGTTTTCTTTACATGCTAAACACCTTATATTATACTGCTTGTTCAAACGTGTTAGTATTGATAACCAAAAAACATCATCCAGCACCAGTGCCCCAGTGGGTAAGGCGTCTGACTTGTAGTCAGAAGATTACCGGTTCGAGGCCGGCCGTAGGCTCTACCTTTTCTAGAATACGTAATAGTAGATCGTTCCATCACCTTTGGCACAAGACCGTCCACTCCCGAAACACCCTTTTGTAACGCTGCAAAATCCAAGGTAAAATGATGTCTCACAAAAACAGATTTTTTTCCTCATTTCGTTTATAATTCTCTGGAAAATACCTTTCATAGATTGCAAGTACTCCTTCGCAGCACAATTTTGAAGGATATGTTTGCTTAAAAGTTTTTTGATAGCCCTGCAGGTGAAAGAAAAAATTCATCCGTCACACCTCGCCTCAATGATGTTAAATCCAGCGTACTTATTCTTTGGAAACATCGTTTAGCAGTAAAAATCGATTGAGGTCTACATTTCCGACAACACTGTGTATTGGCAGTCCATCGGGTCGGGCGGAAGGGACGGGGTAGAGCGGGATGGGGCGAGGCGATCAGTCGAGTTTGAAACATTGTTACTCAATTGGAAACTTCTGCCGCATCTAAAGAACTTCGGATAAAAGCGACTGAATGTGATATTATGGAAAATTCTGCACACGCGATGTACTTTTTGTTCTTCCAGCAAATTATACTCATATAGAATTGAAGATGCACGGTGAGCATGGAGCACAATTTTTTCTGAATACTACATCGTTATAAGGGGGTGCTCTAGAAAAGCGGCGAAATGGGGCTTTAGCCAAGCTTCAGCTTTCGAATGGTTGCTAATATTTCGATGAAAAGCTCTTACCCAGCAAATCGGATCAGTTTTCATTTGTTACCTTCTAACCAGGAATAACCAGGTGCATTTGCATTATTACTTTGATAGAAGAGCGAAAAGCATATGAACATGCACAGGAAAGCTTGGAGTATCAGAGTCACATGGCCTATCTGCAGTTTCTCTCAAAGGGCAGAAACAATTACGAGTTGAATAACAAAAATTGCACTGCACACGCGAGCCGCCTGAGCTCCATCGATCAATCATCGTGTTAAACCACGGGCAGCCCCTTCCCTTGTCCCGTTCTTCCAGCCCCTAGTCATGTGTCACCGTCGTCCCGTTGATCGTCCAGTGACTCGAGCGGGCACCAGCAACACTTTCATTTTTCCCTATTGCGTGAAAAGTGGCCCAGTGGATAAATTTTTTTAAGGATTCACTGGGCATCATATATTACTTCTAGGTTTCCGTGTAGATATCCGACCATCGCGTCGTTGTTCCTCCGGTGGGAGCGCTTGACATGGCAAGTAATTCAGTCGGTAACGCTGTCGTCCATCAACTGTCGTCGGAGCGCATCCCGTGCCCGGCCCACCTCATTTTCGATGGCCTCGCATGTAGAACGACATTCTTAACACCCGATCGATAACAAAGGTTAGAACTTCAGATCCATTCTGTCATTTGTGATACGCGGGATACTTCTAGCATTTGACTTCTCGACGGCTTGTTCGAACACGCCAAGTGATCTTTTATCCTGCTTACGAAACAACCAGGTTTCCATTACATAGATTGAGACAAAGATCACCGCCCAGTCGCAAAGGTGGACAAGGACTCATATGTTCTTTGTTCTCTTCACTACATCTTTGATGCTTTTAAACGTTCGCCAAGCCGCTCGTTTCTCTCCTGCTCAACTCTGGGCTAGATCGTTCACCATGTTAGCTTGACGACTTAAGTATAGCCATTTGGAGCATCTGCAGATGTTCGTTTCGTTGACAGTGATGGGATATCAAATACTTATCCATTTATCACGATCATTATTTTAATTCCATTTAGTCGATAAACAAACTTTTCACAGGTGCTGTCGAAATCGGTCAACATTCGCTCCACCTGATTAATATTTCGTGTTATAAGGACCATATCATCAGCGGAGAGAAAATGATTTGTCGACTGCCAACTTACACTTCCATATCGCCCCATTCTTATGTTTGAATGACGTTTCAGATGGTTTCAGTAAAAATTTTGGCCGATTGTATCGTCTTGTCAAGCCTCTCTTCCTACGTCGACATTAATATCGCAATAGAATGGCGATATTCTTAATACGAAATCCTCGCACAACTCAGAAACGATCCTATGTATCGAGTAGGGACGTATGCGCCTCTATAACTGCCTCTGTTTATACTGATTCAAAAGCTTCCTTCAGTTAAATGTAAATGAGAAAGAGCCCTCATTTGCACTCTCGTAACACCTTAATGAGTCTTGTGATCGTGTCGATGTGATATATGGTGTTGAATCCTTTTCGAAACCCTGCTCGTTCGCATGATTGCCGTTTGTACAGTGTTCTGCCAATCCTGTTTGGGATAACATAAGTGAAGAGTCCATAGACAACGGATAGAAAGTAGATTTTTTGATGGTTGTCTATGCCTCCAAGGTCTCTCTTTTCTAACAACAACACGCTCTTGCTGGTTCTCCATTGACTAGAAACATTGAATTCTGACGGATAAAGAGCGAACAGTTAGCCAGGTTGTTGTTGAAAGCTGGCGGTAGGTTCTTCAAGTGCTCTGCTCTAATCATCGGGTGTTGTTGTATTCTTCATCAGCGACATAGCATGTCAGATTTTGGCATGGAGGACCGGTGGAGCTACAGATTCATCCTCTTTCAATTCATATGACGGTGAGAGGACATAGATATCAAAGAGTAGTGATCGTAAATAATTTTCTCCATCGCCCTTGTGGAAGCCTTGAGTGCTTCGTCAGAGTGTCGGATTATAGTCATCTTAGAATTATAAGGACGAATTTCGATCCCTTTGCGAATGGTCTTTCCAGTTTTAGCGGTTTCAGCCATAACTGCTGCTATTCTTTCCTTAAGATCTTCTTTTGTCGCTTCTCTGCAGCGTTTCGCAAATTCGTACATATGTTTCGCTAGTATGTGGCTCGTGCGACTCCAAATTGACCTATCTGCATTTGAAGAGTAGTAGCTAGTAAGTCAGTAAGTAAATCGAAGACCTGATGAAGCTGCTATTGAAGGGATCCGAGTAGTACATGTGGATAATTTTCTCCATTGCACTTGTGGATGCTGTAAGTGTCCTGTCAGGGCATTGGAGTGCAATCATCTTGGTCTTATAAATGGCAAAGCCTCTCTTGGCTTTGCGAGTGCTCTTCCCAGCTTCTACAGCTTCTGCCATGACTGCTGCTCGTCTATTTTTAAGGTCTTTCTTTGTCGCTTCACTGCGGCGTTTCGCAAATTCGGACGTTAGTTCTGGATGCCTGTATCTCGTGCGATTCCACAATAAGACGAATGAAAGCCACTGGAAAGAGAATCCTAAGAGCTCCTTACTACAACACACAATGCAGACCCGATTATGAAGCTCACTGGAGTATTGCTAAGTCGCAAACTCTTATTTTTCCACTTTTCCCAACTCACTGGAGGGTGCCGTGGCAGAGTGGTTGTGATAATCGTAACCGCGAGCGCGGGCTAGATCCTCTCCAGTCCCTCCATGCCAGCACTCTTCGGCAGTCAACAGAAAATGCCCTGAGGTAAGCCAGAACCAGGCTGTCCTCGAGGTTTTAAGGAGGCGTGCTCAAACAGTATTCTACGACTTTTTAGAGAGGAAGATGAAAAAAACGAACTGCTAGGAATACGGGATCCGCACAGTGAAAGAATGGCTCTTTTCTATTATAAGGCAACAAACGAAGAAGCGACCCCTCTTGCTGGAACAATAGTTCAATAGACGTCAGTAGTTATTTGGAGGTCTAAACCTTTGGCTACTGCGCTGCATGGGCTGTATGCTCTCTTTGAAAATGACCCATATATAACGTAGCAATTACAACAAAATTATGTTCTGAACAGAAAGCGCACTTTTAGCATTACTTCGGTGGAAACAGAAAAACACATGCACGTGTACAGCAATCTTGTATGTGATATTAGAGACATATGTTTTGTCTGAACTTCCTTCTGAAAGCAAGGAAACAATTCCTAACTTAATAACAAAAATTGCACTCCACATCGACTGAATCATTCTAGAAGGCAACATCGAGTAATAATCACTTTGTTTTGATAAATATGTCGGCAGCACCGCTGCTATTAGCAGGGAAAAGCCATAGGGCACTAAGCTCGGAGGAGACGTTCGGGAACGCCGAAACGCAGTAGGCCAGTGGTGGACTAGATTTCTAGAAGGCTTAAAACATTGTATCAGACTGTATTGAATTTTTAAGCGAGATCTTAAGTACAGTTGATTGAAAAATTTTGCAGTCAATAGCGAAAAGTCGTAATCAACGCATGGTATAGACGACTGATAAAGAAATCAAAAGGATTAAGGATAAAGTTTCCGCCATTGATTGATCCTTGAAAGATGCATTCATCTTCATTTAGCATCATTTGAGGTGACTGAAGGCATATCTGGCTTTTACTATTAGCAGCAGCCTACCGATATAAAGTCAGTGCCACTATCGATTCAAACGAGCGTGGTGCAAATTTACCAAATCCGGAGGAAAGGAAGATTTGATCAATCGTGAGCGCAAAATTGAACCACTGACCATTGATCAGTCGACCACAATTATGCCGCAAAACACCTCTAATCCTGCACCATATGCGCTTATAAGTAATGACTACAGTACAATCCAGAAAAATGTGACATGCTTCCAATTACCGAAATCAAAGCGGTTGGCTGATGTACGACTTACATCTAAACTTCAATTGACAAGATCAAGTGCTTAATTATCAAACTTTCGCGATTCCATCGCTGAGGATACTGCTTACACGACAAGGTTATGAAGTCGCGCACTACAAACTGACTTGGAGACATCAAAAATTCGTTTAAATTTCCCTTCTCCAGCACGAGCACAGAATGTGGTAGCTGTGCACTTTGAATGGATACGTATGCTCAAGGGAAGAGTTTTGTACAGCAAGAAATATGCGCGTGTGAAAGGCAAAACTTCTCATTTTGCTACAGCACCGTAAAAAAATGCTTTTATGAAAAAGACAAACAGATTCTTGAATTCTCCGAGCTATGAGTTGTCAAGGATTACTAACAGTCAAAAGAAAGAATTCTGTTCAGCGAAATATAAGCGTGATAATCATAAAAGGAGGAGCGCTTGTAAAACAAAATCTTATATTGAACGCCACAGCGTCATAAGAAGGCTTTTCCGAAAGAGGTGCGCGTGGTACAGTAGGCGGAAATAAGCTTTCGAGTGATTTCTAACATTCCTATGACAAATTCTTGTCCAGAGAAAGGGATGATTTCTTCAGTACGTGTTGTCCAACGGAGAAAGAGCGATTTCTTGCTTGTAAGCATTCACTAAACCAGTGTTGGAAGAGATCGGTGGACTATCAAACGTACACAGTAGAAGATTCTTTACCTTATCCATTAGACCACGCAGGCTGCACTGTTATCGATAATTTTCCTGCTAATACTATCGATACTTACACAAAGGGTTCGAACAAACACTCTGAGTGTTCAAAACGGTCATAGGCCGATAAGAATACTAACACCCTCGAAAGCCGACACTTGGAGATGAGCATATTGCGCATTCGCAAATGTATGCACACGACTGTAATCGAATGGCAAACTTCTAATCAAAAGTCGGACGCCTCACCTAATAAGCTACACATGTCACTCCACTGAGCAACGTTAGTTTTGATGACACTCTCAAAAATCACAGTGATTAAATAGACAATACTCTTCTTGCGAATAATAGTGCGACTAAGAACAAATCGCACTTCCAGGCTGACTATCAGAGATTGTAATGCTACGCGTTTTGAAAAAAGCAAGACCACGGCCGGGATCGAACCGACAATCTTCTAATTAGAAGTCAGACGCCTTATCCATTTGGCCACGCGGGCTGCTGTATTCTCATTTACTGCTTTACTAGTGTTAGCGATATCAACATTAACGCGTTCGAACAAACACTCTGAGTGTTCGAAACGGTCTATGAGCGATAAGATTTCTAACACCATCAGAAACCGACTCTTGAACATGAGCATAGTGCGCGTTCTTAGAACCATGCACGCGACTGGAATCTAATCGCAAGCTAAAAATCAGAAGTCAGATGCCTAATCTATAAAGCTACGCAAAGCACGAGTGCGGAGAGGCTGTTAAAATTTCATGGCCGAACTAAGCTGCGAATTTAGAAGGACTAAAGTGACGATCCATACCTAACCACATCTTGATGAAATAAAGATTTTGCCTGACCGATGTTGCAAAAGAAGCTGGATGAGCATTTGCTTAACCCACCGGAGCTTCGCAAATCATAAGATCAAGATCATTACAATCCGGCGCCCTGACGCGACACTTACAGCTTCTTGAAGAGCAGTGGAGATAATCATCCACTATTACTACTTGGATATCCAAATTAGCCATATCCTCTTATAATCATGTGAACTGAAAGAGGACGAATATGTCCTTCACCGGTTCTCCCTTCCGAAATCCGACACACAATATCGGCGGTGGAGAATGAACACCTGATCCAGATAGGATAAGATCCGAACACCTAAAGAACCCTACCGCGAAATCTCATCAACACCTTTGTTCGGCTCATCACTCGTTACATATCACAATGTGAGATTTCCAGATAATGGAAAACTCAGCAGGACAGTGGTGCTGTTTAGAAAAGGGGAACTTTCACGACACAGGCAACTATTGGCCAATCTGCTAGCTCTCCATCGTTTTTAAACTCTTTACTCAAGTCATCCTAAACAGGATTGACAGAACACCGAATGAAGGGCAGCCATGCGAACAAGTAATGTTTCGGAAAGGCTTTAGTACCATAGACCAGACCTTTACGATTACAAGACCCGCTGAAGTTTCACGAGAGTACAAAAACCGCTCTATTAAGCCCTCATGGATTTGAAGGAAGCTTTTGATGGTCTTAACAGTGACTCGCGGTGGCCTCCCGCTAAATAGTGTCAGTGCTGCTTATCCACTCAGACAAGTCTGAGACCAGTCTGGTACCAATTTATCGACCCCAGAGTTATCGAACCATTGACCTCGTGTGTGACGCAGAGCACCTCTAACCACTGCGCCACATGTGCTCACGATGCCTTATTACATGGCGTTATTGAGTGCGCTTTTAGAAGGTCGATGCTAGATTTATCCCATATTTCTCAAATAGAAGAAGGATTCGAAGTTCTGACCTACGTTGACAATCGACATCCAAAGAAGACCGTTCTACACCTGAGGCCATCGAAAATAAGGTGGACCGGACGCGTAATGCGCTTCAACGACATCCAATGAGCGGAAGCCATTACCGACTGGACTCCTCAGATGTGAAGCGCTCCATAGGGAAACCACCGACTCGATGGTCCAATTTGTTATCGAGAAGTTCAAAAGAAAGATATCATGCGCTAACGAATTCCCCAGAGCGAGAAAGTCCCACTGGGCTACTGTTGCATGCAATAGAGAAAAATGGAAGTGTTTCGTTGGTGCCCGCTCGAGTCACTCTCCGATCAACACGACAATGGGTGATACAGGTGGCACGCAAAGCCACTTTACTGACACCGGGTGAATTCATGCATGAAGCTCTCGAAACTAACACTAACTGACTCAAACAAACACTCGTCTAGGTTGATACGGTAATAGTGCGACTAGGATCACACTGCACATCCAAGCCGACCACTGGGCATCAGAATACTAAACGTTGTGAAAAGGATTGAGCCCACGATCGGACTTGAACCGGCAATCTTCTGATTCGAAGTCAGACGCCTTATGTCACGCGGGCCACGCCACTGGAGGATAGTTTCTTGGTTATCAACATAAACGTGTTTAAACAGGCAGTGTAGTACAAGCTGTTTATTAGGTAAAGAAAACCAAGCTGCACGTAGTCTGCTGGGCCTTTTTTAGGTCATAAGATGTACTTTAATTCAGAGATGGAGAAAACAAATGCTACTCGCATCTGAAACAGCAAATTAACTTAAATGCTACGCCTTTATTAATACAGTCCAAAACAAAATACTCAGCTGGTAGAAGTTTGCAGAGGTGTTGGGAAACCACACCAATTTCTTCAGCTTTCGTAATTATCACGCTTTCATTTGATGAATGTTAATCTATATTGTCACTATACTACCATACCTGAACTTTTTGGCGGAGCAAGGTGGGAGGCCTTGGCCGAGTAGTTGTGAATCGCAGCGCGGGCTGATCCCCATTCCCCTCCCCCCCCAACGCTGTACGGCCGCTGATGTAGAGTGATGTTCAAAACTTTCGCGTCAGGAGGAACTAGAACCCGCACCTCATTCTCCGAGAAATGCGTGCTCTATCCGTTGCAGCACTGACGCCCATTTTGCACATCGCTCTTTCTACGTTACAGTGCATCTATCTGTCAGCCGCCAGCAGTCAACGGCCTGGCCTGGGAGTCGATCTCGACACTGACCCACTCACGCTGACAGATATTGGGCACTGAAGACCAAACAATATTCTTTTTTATTTATCCGCTAGCAGTATTATGATGTTACAAATATATACCTGCTGATGTAGAGTGATGTGCAAAAAATTCACGTTAGGCGGGACTAGAACCCTAACCTTACCCTTTCCGGGAATGCGTGCTCTACCCGTTACACTACTGACGCCCATTTTGCCCATTTTGATTTTGACACATCAGCGGGTATATATTTGTAACATCATACCATCACTAGAAGCGGCTAAATAAGAAAGAATTTTGTTTGATTCCAATAATGGACGTTTTAAAAACCGCCACTGCCAGACTATCCTCTAAATTAAAGAGAGTCGTACTCAACCAGTATTCTAGGGCGTTAATGACGAAGACGAAAAAGATTTGAATGCTATAAGTAGTGTGGTTTCGCCCAGTGAAAAGAAAAAACTGTAAGACGAATAAAATTAAGTGGGTACAAGTATGCTGTCCGTAAACAAATTAAGTAACGACCCTCTCGCCCTACAGAGAATTCTCATAAGAGCGTGAATGACAATTTGAAGGCTTAGATCTCTGGCAACTGCGATAAGTTCTAATTTTTTGAAAAGACTCTCTTATAATGCTGCAGCATTCAGAAAAATCATGTTTCACACCCTCCGCGCGTCTTCATTTTTAACGCGCGTTAAATTCGCTGAAAGCAAGACAAGCATATAAACGTGTAGAGGAAAATTTCGAAATGAGGGTTCGAGTTCCACCTGACGTCAAATCTTTATACATTACTCAACATCACTAGGAACATCACAATAGTGGGTCGTTTTGTAAGTGTTGCCATTAGAGAAATAAGCACGAAATTTATCAACCAGAAGTATCTGTTAATTATTTTTGAGCCAACTTATCATGTGGGCTCTCAGGGGGAGGTTATAGAGCTCAGTACACTCGTTTTAGCCTTGACAGCCTCGCCATTCGGGCAGTACTCTTAGTCTCAGTCAATCCTCTCGGGTGTTCCATCCTCATACATAAAGTAGGCAACGACGTGGGATTTGAACGTGCCGTAAAGTGAAATAAATCACTAGATCGGTAGTGGGTGACAAGGATGCAACGGCCGAAACACGTGTATTGAGATCTGTAAGTTGCTCGTAAGAGACCGAATGATATGTGACCTGTTCGGAACTTCCAAAGGCCTTTTCTTTTCTTTTGAAAGGAAAAACTATTATTCTTTGCAGTACCCAAATTTTAGAGCTCATCACAAATTTGTTTCGATTCGGTTCGAACGGCTCTTCTTGATACCGTTCCTTCATACGTCGTATATTGCCTTGAACCAAAATTTAGCTATTGGAACTGAAGTGGTGATGTATGTTCAGACAGTGTCAATTGATAGAAGTGCCCTTTGCGAGTAGTGAAGGTTTTCAGGTCCTACAAGTTGTAGTGGAAATTTCTTGAGAGAAGGAACATATAGGACGGTTTGTGTTAGGGAATTTCAGTTGGTTTCAGTTCATTTTTTCTTCTACTAAGTCACCAAGAAATTGTTGTATCTATTCAGGAAAAAATTTGACTCTTCTTGGAGGGACAGAAAGACGACATTATTTCGCTCAAGGACAGAAGGGCGAGATATTTTTGCCCAAATTCTTTCTCCAGCGATCGATAAGTGATATCAATTAAAATTCTTCTTATTAACCAGAGCGCACGTGGCGCAGTGGTTAGAGGTGATCTGCGTCGCACACAAGGTCACTAATTCAACAACGCGCTCATGGTCCACTAAGCCATCCATACTTCCAGGGTCAGTAAATTGACACTGGATTAGTCTCAGACTTGTCTGAGAGGATAAGCTGCACTGACTCGGTACAGTGAAAGGCCACCGCTAGTCATTGTAGAGGCCAAGCATGCATTCAATCACCTGAGAGCTTCATCCGTTTTATTTTGTCCTATTAATCGCTTATTTGTCCCTAGCTAAGACAAATTTGTTTCGATTCGGTTTGAGCTGCTCTTCTTGATGCCGCTTCTTCATACGTCGTATATTGCCTTGAACCAAAATTTAGCTATTGGAACTAAAGTGGTGATGTATGTTCAGACAGTGTCAATTTACAGAAGTGCCCTTCCGAGTAGTGGAGGTTTTCAGGTCCTACAAATTGTAGTGGAAATTTCTTGAGAGAACGAACATATAGGACGACTTGTGTTAGAAAATTTTAGTTGAATTCAATTCATTTTTTGTCTACTGAGCCAACAAGAAATTGTTGTATTTATTCAGAAAAAAATTGACTTTTTTATTTAAGAAGGGAACAAGTGAAGAAAAGATAAATTCCGCTGTACAAGAACTTTTCGCAAGAGTGTTAATAGTCATTCGATAGCTTAGACACAAAAGGAACTCATTTGCGTTTAACACAAGATTTTTTTTTCGCAAAACATAGACAGCTATTTATTTAAACTGTGAGTAATTATTCGGTAGCCTGAGATAACAATTGTAACTTTGTGCTTGCTTGCTGAAAAACCGTTTCTCTTCAGTCCAACATAGAAAATCACAATTGAATTCGCATACGTGAGCAGCGATAACTTTGCTAATCTACGGGGATGCGAGGAGTGGGCAGGGTAGGTGCAGCAGGTTTCAGCACGGCCGTCGATCGATTGGCCCTTTCACGAGCCGTACGGAACTGCGATTTAGGTATTTATTTAAAAACTGTTTCTCCGATTTGGAAGAAATTTCAGATTAAATCACATTAGTCGAGATTGTAAGGGTGACTGATGATGGTAGTCAGTTGAGTTAAAACATGAGAGATAGACGGAATGCGAGTCTCCATAGGAGAGCATGTAACAGATGAACCTACGGGAAGCGTATTCATGCTTCAAATCCACCGCATTTCAAGTTCTAAGTTCTGCTCGCACCTTAGCGCTTCTGTAATAATATTTCTGAACATTTATGACTGCGATACAATCAACACAACTGAAGTTTGGTATGAGGTCCATGCAGAGGTAGGAGTGCGAGACAATTTTGCCTTCTTTTTCGTGTAAAGGTTAGGCGATATCAGTCAAAATTCGTTTTTTACCCGCTTCTAGTTATTGTATCGGCTGAAATGAAGGGCACTGTGCTACTGAGGAGCCTGGAACGACGAAGCAGGAGCCTGTATATCACTTGTGCCGTGGCAAGTGTAGTACTGGCCTCATAACAGGCTCTAGCATGTAATCATGTCATCAGATTATCATTCAACAGTATTGAGAAAGTTACATTTTCCATGGAAGTGAAAATATTATGTTTCCATGGAACCGCTCTTCACGGTACTTTACTGATCTCAGCACATTTTGCATCCGATTCGTTTCCTCACCATCCAGCGTCCGCGAGGGTTCCTGTATCTTTGCTCAAGGGCGCAGCTGCTGCTTCAAAATTTCTGACTTCGCCTGAAATGCCGCTCAATAGTGATCGATTCGATTCCCGCTGGTATTCTGGGATGGCAGTACACGGAGTTTCCATGCGACTGGTAGAAGTGAATTGTTCCGATACACGAACGGTAGAAATTTCGCGACACTGCAAGAATGAGAGATCTAACAGGACCGGTATTGGGTCGGCCTGGAATCTGGCTCGTAGTAAACGGCAGCACTACCAAGGCGCTATGGGTCCTCTCTATCCAAGATAAATTAGGCATGCCATGGTAACTGAGCAGGATACGAAAGGGCAGACGAATTAGTAAGCAACAGTATATAATAATTAATATTGGATGAGTAGTGGTGGCAGTTAACTTCTTCGTACTTTCTGGCCTGAATCTGAATTGCAACATTGCAAATGTTTTTTCTAGCCAGTGCTTTACCGTCAATGCATAAAGTCTAGTGACAAGTATTTAGAAAACTTCACCATTTGATAAAATCTATTAGCCAGCTGCGGTAGTTACAGTCCTCTGCAGACAAAAATTTCGTCCCAAATAGGTCTCACAATGCTTTCAATTTCTACTGTACTTTTCAAGAAATAATCGTAGACATATGATTTTCAGGATAATCACTGATGCTAGTTGCAGCTCCAGGAATCATTAGTTACCTTTACTGCGTAGTTAAAAAGAAGATTTCGAGCTATAAGAACACCACGGATTTGTAGTACTCATGAATAAACCACAAAAAGATACTCTATATAAAAGTATGAAGGAAGCCTGAATTCATGAAAAATAATCAGCATAAACGAAAAAGTGGTATAATTTTTCTGTCAACTAAATACGACTCACTTCGAGAGATAGCCAGGATTACCATTGAATATGCTCTAAAAAAAGTTTGGTGCACTTAAAGCTCAAACTCTCGTTTGTTTCAACTATTGGGTAAAGGTAACTATTCTTACAGAATATCTTGACACTCTAACGGGCATCAGTAGATTATCCCAAAAACCATT